TCACTTTGGGGAATTCAACACAATACAGGAATTCCCTACAATCCCTAAGGTCAAGCCATTATAGAACGCAACCATCAAAACCTAAAAATTCAATTACAAAAACAAAAAGGGGGAATAAGCCCTGCCCAACAGTTGGGTATGGCCTTATTCACTATTAATGTTCTTAATTTCCAAAAAAATCAGTTGGAATCCCAGTTTCAGAAGCATTGGGGATGACAGGAGCAGAGACCTGAGGTACAGGTAAGATGGAAAGACCCCATCATTGGGCAATGGAAAGGACCAGATCCATTGTTAACCATGGGTTGAGGCTTTGGGTGTGTCTACCCTACAGGAGATTCAAACCCCATATGGGTGCCTGCAAAAAACCTTAAGTGGGTAGGCCAGGATCTGACTGACTAGCATGATGGTCCATGGACAATAGTTCATGAGAAAAAATTCCTCTCTTTGTTTGTATCCATCTGAGGTAAAGGTGAGTTCCTTGACTTCATTGCAGCCTCTTTGACAACTGACTAATTGGCTAAAAGGATCACGGTCTCATAAGTATTTTAACTTGTCCTCCATGACTTGCTTTGTTTCTCTTGATAATGCTTATTTTTAATGTCTTTACCAGATAATTCAGTGACAGAGAACCCTTGGAACTGTCATGGCCCACCTCCTCATGATTACAGACTTCCCCAGGACCCCCTCCGGTTTCCCACGCTTGGCTAACTGAATTAGGCAGAGACTAAGACTGTCATGGGCTGGCATTACCCACATGGCTGCCCTTAATCATGATGCATTTTTAGGCAAAGACGGGTAAGATGTCCCATGACAAGTACTCCTAAGACAGGACATGCACATGGCCAGGTGCATAAGTCCTGTAGTATTATTTTTAGGAAGCTGGGTGCACTAGAGTTTGGTGAATATATGTTCATAATTGTAATATCCTCTTTGTCAATTGTTCCTTTGATCAAAATGATGTTGTGGGGACCTAAAAGCCCCACCTTGCATAGGTCCGAAAGGAAGTTACTGGCTTGCTTTGAAAGTCTGAAGAGTACTTCCGCACTGCTGAGGAGTGCATGATCAGCACATGACCATCCTTAAGATACACCCTGGGCGGGGGGAGTTCCAGGTGCCTTTATAAGCTTTGGAACACTTGCAATAATTGAGTCCCAGCTTGACTAGGCTCCCCATTGCGTCTGAGTGTCCCCGAGTAATGGGGGTGGCATGGGCTGGCGAACAGCATGCTTACTCATCTCCAATCCTTACCTCAACAGGGGTCATGGGTTCGAGTCCCCAGCAACAGGAGAGATGAACAGGATTGGAAAAACATTCCAGGCTCTCTGGACAGGTCACCTCCTCTTTCAAACTGTTGTCCATGGTCCACATTTGAACCAAAATGGCTTCTTAGTTTCTGAAAGCAACCAGGACTGTTCAGTATACACTTTGTCCTTTGACACAGGATGTATCTAAGTCCAATATAAAAATAATGTAAATATTTGTTTATGTAGTTCTGGATAAGAATCATAGTAAGTTTATCATCTATGATTTTTTTTAAAGGCTATCCAAACTTCAGTTGGTAACAAGAAAGAAGCCTGTGGGAACTGTCTTCCAGTCAGGGCACCTTACAGTCTCTGGAAACTTGCAAATAGAGGTTGTCTCCTTTGAACAAAGCTTTTCCTTGTGGGAGCTGAGCCCTCCTGGGCCTTTAGTAGGATCTAGGTAGGAATGCACATCTCCACCCTCAACACCATCCAATATTTATTTATAACTCACTTGCAATTAAAAAAAAATCCTAGACAGGTATGGTGGTGCATGCCTTTAAACCCAGCACTTAGGAGGCAGAGGCAGGCAGATCTCTGTGAGATAGAGGTCAGCCTGGTCTACATAGCAAGTTTTAGGCCAGTTGGAGCTACAGGGAGACACTGTCTCATAAAACCAAAAAAAAAAAAAAATCCATGCCTAAACCCAATCATAAAGCCAAAGCCAATTCTAGCATGGTTGACTCAGATAACTGCCTAAGAAATTTTCAGAATTCCCAAGGAAATTAGTACAAGACTAGCAAAATCCACTGAAAAATGAATGAGATGTCCCTGAGGATGTGCATTTTCATACATGCATCTCATTACGAAAAGCAACCTGAAGTGTAAAATGTAAAATTTTAAGTGGTGATGCTGTCAGAGTTCCCAAACACTGGATAAGACTGGCTCTTTCCTCATCTGAAATCTAAGAATAAAGACACAAACAAAACAAGCTGTTGCCAGAGAGAAATAAGATTATGAAACAGCTCTACAGAAGGGTTACTTTACCTTAACTTGGTGATTCTCAGCAGAGGACTTAAGGTATAACCATTTGTGCATCTACATTTGAGCTCAGACTCTCGGTTTTTATAGTGTCTGAAACAGGCTCCACCCACAACGTGAGTCATAGGCTCCACCCAAATGTTGTCTTGTGTCAATCCAATCAAGTAAACATTAATTCTTCTATGTTTAGCGATTTCACAAAAGCCCACTTAAAACTTCATATAAAATTTCATAATAACTCTTTGAATTCATAGAGCAAGCCTACTATCATCTGAGTGAGATTTGTTTAGTTTCAGAACTCAACTTTTAAAAACAAACTATATTAGAGATCAAATACAAAAATATCCTGTTGAAATCTTATCAAACCTTGCTTGATGTCGTTACTGGTGTCCATATCTTTGATACAATCATAAATGAACAGATCTCAAACAACTTTTATGTCCCTGAACTCAGCAGCTCCATGTATGGGATAAGTTACTAAACAGGAAAAAGAAAACAGCTGTCAAAATAGGCCTACACCCCTGTCGTAATTTTTTAATATTTTATTTTTATTTCATGTGTATGAATGTATTGCCTGCTTGTATGTAAGTGCACCTTCATCATACAATCCCCTTGGAGGTCAGAAGAAGGTGTCAGATCCCCTGAAACTGAAGTTGTAGATGGTTGTTGGCTGCTATGTGGGATTTGAACCTGGGTCCTCTGTAAGACCAGCCAGTACTCTTAACCACTGAGCCATCTCTCCACCTCTGTAATTCTTAATAATATTTTTATTCTCAAAAATGTCATTGATTAAGCAATAAATTATGCAGTCTCCTGTTAAGCAATAAACATTAATAACCTCTTGTTTCTTAGCATGCCTGTTCCTTCAAACATAAGCCTTAATATATGCATCCATTGTTGAACCATTAAGTTGTACTAATTAACATATTTACCACTTCAAACAGCTATCAATTTAGGAAGGAGAACAAGTCTACTGTCTTGGAAATATTCAAGTATCCTATATATAATTATTAATTATAGTCACCTTGAATACATCTTCAAAATTGCTCCTCATGTTTAACTGAAAATTTGTACCCTTTAACTAATACCTCCCCATTCTCTGACCTGTCACAATCCTACACTACTTTTCTGTGTTCTGCGGTTTTATTTTTGGTTTGGGGGGGTTGTTTGTTTGTTTGTTTGTTTGTTTGTTTTAAAGTCCACATATTAGCGTTTTGGTACCTGGTTAAGTAGAACATCCTCCATTTTCATCCACAGTGTTGTAAATGACAGGATTTTCTTCAATTGTGCAAATATTCATCAATTTTCTTTATTCGTTCATGTACTGATGGATAATTATGTTGCTTCTACATCTTAACTGTTGCGAATAGTGCTGTAATGAATAGAGGAATCTACATATCCCTTATTGTATTCAGCTCCTTTTCTTCCAGAAGTGGACTTGCTGGATCAAATGGCAGATGTCATTTTTTAGGAACCTCCATACTGTTTTCCATGTCTGTACCACTTTACAGTCCCACCAGCAGCCTGAAAGTGTCCCCTCTGCCCCATATCCTTACCAACATTTACTCTTTGGACCTGTTTTACAGGTGTGATGTGATAGTCTTTATGCTCTTAGGCATAAATGAGAACACCAAAATACTTTTTTGATTATGCAAATTCTATTTTTACACAATTAGTGTATTATAAATTTTAAAAAATGCATTTTTTAAGAGACCTGTCTTACTATGTAGCCTAACCTGGTCCCCAACTCATGATCCTCCTGCCTCAAACTCCCAAGTACTGGGATTGTAGGTATGTATCACCTTGCCCAGCAAAACTAAAGAAAAAAAAAGTTAAATTTGTTTAACTCATTTAAACTAACAAAAATCATTATAGGTTAATATAATATAGTCTTTAAAAAAAAAACCTGTTCTCTAAAACTATAATCAATTGGTAAGAAGGATGCCATTGATTTGCAAACCTCTATCATTCTTGCTTAATAGAAGACAGCTGGATTCTCACATCTACTTCTGATCAATCTAATGTGATATGTTGTTCTGATTCATGCAAGAGAAATCTTACTTCCCACAGATATTTGGTTGTAAAAATGGAGTAGGGTGCTTGCAGATCCCTTAAAGGGGACTCAGGGGCCCTCTAACACTAATTGAGGACCACTGTTCTGCAATGAATTCTGTCACTGTGATAGCAACAAGTCTTGGCATCAAAGTTGGCAGTGATGCACTTGACCATCTCTTCCTGTGGCTTCAGCCATTTTAAAGCAGAGTCAGATGACGGAGCTAAACATAAAACACTTTTCTGCCTTTCGCATAATGATAAGGTTCTTATCGATTTTCCATTTCATTTATTTAGCTGCAGTGATGAAGTCAAGTCTTCATTTCATCTACTTTGCATCTCCTAATAGGGCTTCAACAGATGTTTAACACCAATCAAACCATCGTCTCTCGTTGATTTTTCTCATTTTGTAGCCAGCTCTGGTGGTGGCTTGAAAATGCCCTGGCTGCTAAGATTTCAGAATTTTTGTTGTTATTCTTTCCCAGGAAAAATATTTTCTTTCCGGAAATATTCATTTTAATCCCCAAATTCTTCATTACTATTGAAATGTTGAATTCAGGGAGAAATATCCTTTAAAAATTTTTTTAAAGTGCTCGAAATATTTGGAGCCAGTTACCTGTGACATCTTAATATCCTCATGACAACTTGTCAAAATGTACATAACTTTCTATTTTTAGAATAATTTTAAATTATCATCAGTGCTTCCATAAGATTAAATCATACACTAGGCTTATTTCCATGGTGTCCTGATTTAGTAGGAAATCAGCTTTCTCCCATGCTAGTTAGGTAGGAAGCCGCCATTTCTGGAAAGGAGAGTGCTGAATGCCAGAGTAGGCTACATGAGACCCGGCATCGAATGAAAATAAAAACGCCACGGTTTTCCATTTTCAAAAGGCAGCGTCCTCAATGGACAGCTTTTCTCCTTGACGTCCGTTCCAGGTATGGGACCACTTTGGTTTGTAGTGTCCTCTTCTCTACGGTCCAACTCCTTTCCTCATCTTTGCTACCACGTTACACATTAAAGTGGCCCCTTCTGTCCATGTGAGAGGAGACAGAAAGTGCGACTAAATTATTAATGCCAACGGGGCTCACTAATGGAGTGCCTTCACCCTCCCCTTCAAACAGCTGTCCTTTTTAGATCTGAGCTTCATGAGGAGAATCTTATCAGCACTTAGAATGTGTAGAATGTTCCAATTTACACTTATTTTAGAGGACACACTAGAAAAAAATGCCAGGGATGACTAGACATATGAACAGTCGATAATATGTAGCCCCTACTGCAGTCCTATGAATGAACCTCACTCATTTTTCAGCCTATAAAGTTTGTTAAAAGTCCTGAAGGCAAGAAGTTCTGAGTTATAGTGATATGTCTTACCTGCAGGTATACAAACGTGTAAGAATTGATAATACATTCTCCACTATAACAGGGTTTCTTAAACTTGTTCCACTAGCCAACATTTTCCCTTCAAGAAAGTTTTACATGATCCTAAGAATAATAGGTATATAAAATAGGTATACAAATCAAACATTTACTGCTAATAAATCATAAGGAAAAGTAGCAGGAGAATATTAAAGGTTATTGTCTTCTGTGGTTAAACTATCAAGTTTCTATAAAACTAGAAAACTTCATACATAAAGTTTAAGAAAAGCTGTGTAATTCATAACACATTAATCTCACATCTGAGCCAAGGTGTTTCAGGCTGAATTCATAGGCATTCCCATGACCTGAGGGTACATGCAATGCAAAGTCTGCACATTGCGTGTTGTAGTGCAGTTCCATGACGCAGCCCAGGTGAATTCAGTACACATTTGATTTTGAATTAATTTTTGGTAGCCACACATTCAGAAATCTTTTACTATTGCCTACTTATTCACTACCTATTCAGTTATGCAACCCCAATGGGTCAAGACCCACAACCTAAGAAACATCGATCTATATATAACATGCTATCTGTGAAAATAGTTCTAACTTGAGTCCCCACTAAGTGCCAATGACCTTAAGCCAGTATGAAGCAAATGTGTGAA